CCCCAAAACCCCAAAACCCCAAAACCCCGATTTTTAAATAAAATATAGAAAATGAATAAAACCCAAGCTCCATATGGAGATCAGATGAAATTTTGAGATTTATCACAGCTACCTCTCAAGCAAGCATTTATTGATAAAACTATGGATAAAGATGCATTTGGTAAGTGGTACTCTCAATCTAAGACCTCATGAACAAATCTTGCTTTTAAACTATGCACACCATATGAATTATTCTATCTAGCTGATTTCCTGCACCTCAAGACAAAAGTGACTCAGTAATCTTAGCTTTAAACCCTTCTAGGAATATCTCTAAGTGCCTAGAACAAGCTTCTAGCAAGAGAATAGCCAACTCCAGAAGGAAACATGGTTACTTCCAGAAGCACTTCTTAGAGAGACAGAGGGAGAAATGGGAGCGAAAATAAACTTACGTAATGACTTTACATTAATAACAATAGTTCAAAGAAGAATAAAATATTTGTGAAATCTCATGCTCAGCATTTGTCGCCCTTCTCTTCTAGGCCGAATGAGAAATTCCTTCTGAACTTGCCGATGGCTATGCCAAAGACAAGACATAGAGAAGGAGATGGCCTATCGCCTATCGGTGATAGGCATTTCTACTCCCGCGTCAGGTCAACAAAGTACTCTCAGCAGAAGGAGTTCTACTTGAACTCCTTCCTGCATTACAACCCAAAGCCGATACAGAAGGAAAGGAAGGCTGTCACCAGGAAGAAGGACCTTCGCTGTAAGCTCCAAGCTTATTTTTAGTGCATCATCCTAGTATGGAAAATACCTTTATAGGTAGATCATTGAAATCTGAAGGTAAAATTCCAAAATTCTTCTCTGCGAAGAACTCAGTTGCGACTGTCTTAAAGGTCAATCACCTGAGAAGGCCCAAGCGTAGCCACCAGGTCCTCTAGAGGGCGTAATCTCTGTAGATTTTAGACGATAATATTTCAATATGTAGCAAGGAATCAGGGGTTTTGGGGTTTTGGGGTTTTGGGGTTTTGGGG